GTTACATTGGGACATGCAAGTTACCACAATATATATATATAATGAAATGGACAAAGTCCGACAATTATTTTAAGACATTTTTATGTTTTTTACATTCTTTTTATAGATACAAATATTTAAGTAAATGCTCTGTTTAAAATAAACAACATTTACCGGTCTGAATGTCCGAAAAATTTTCACAGAAGGAGCGTTCGGTTAGCAAATGATGGTTACGTATAGGATACAGGTTCTAATCCTGTTGGAGGACGAATATTTTCTGTGAAAATTTCTCCGACATTCAGGCCGGTAAATGTTGTTTATCATAAACAGAGCATTTACGTAAATATTTGTATCTATAAAAAGAATGTATAAAAATATATATATATATATATATATATATATATATATATATATATATATATATATATATATATATATACGGGGCTTAGTCCGAGAGATTATCTGCTCTTTCGCCATAAGATATCTTTAGGCTTATCACATGGCCTTCTGCTCGTGTGTGCAGATTGATCAAAGTTGACAGGGAGAAACCGGAAGTGAGTACTCCAAGTGAGAATTCCTCGGAGATTAGATGCACTCATTAGGAAATTTGATTGTAAAACTGAATTAATTTTCAGAAAGAAAGCTATTCTTGGGCCAATGCAATTGAGCCCGGGGGTCTGTCGCACGGGACGCGGAGATAAAATTAGTTAAATATTCCTCTCTTGCGGACAGATTTATTTCAGTGGCAGTGGAGACTTCTGGGGTTATTAGCCCTCGTTCGATGGAGTCCCTTCGGAAGGTTAGCGGGATTGCATCTCGATTAAGGGAGGAGACTCGCGAAACGAAGTGGTTCTTTCAGTGTGTCTCACTGGTGATGGTGAAAGGTAATGATTTCGCCATCATTGCGGCTAGCAGAGGATAACGAAAAAAATTTTTGTTTTTTGTTTATAGATATTGTTGAAAATAAATGAACTTGTTCTTATATTTCTCTTCAAACATAAAGTAATTCACGTAATTTTTTAGTTGACCATATGAATATTTTCAGAAATCATATTTTTCTTTAGAAGACGTTAATTTTCTTTAGAAACCGAATTAAAATCTGACTTCCGATGTTCTAAGAAAATTATCTTATACATATAACTAAACAATTTCAAATAAGTTTACGTCATACAATAATGACTTTAAGAAAGGACAAATTCAAACAAAATTACGTCATAAATTAACTGTCTTTTAAAGGAAGATATGAATTCTGAAAATCAATTCAGTTTTACCGTCAATCCTCCTGACATGTGGATGTAATCACCACGAAATTCATAACTGGAACAAGATAAGGGAACAGCAATTTTTATTTTTAAGCAGATTTTATTGATGACACAGCCAAGATTGTTTTGACATCTTTAATTAATTTTTTTCTATAGTCCATAAAAGATAGTGGACGTTTGGTTTTAGTGTGTGTCCAAATTGCTCGGAATCAGGTTCAATCTAAATAATAACTTAGGCAGTCTTATATATATTTTAAGCCAGCGGTTCACAGCCTTTATGCGCCACGGACCGGTGCCATGCAAGATAATTTTTCCACGGACCTGGATTTTCAGGCGAGTAACAAGACACAATAAACCAAATCGCGATTTATTTATCTGCGCGGCCTGGTACCAAATGGTCCACGCCCCGGTACTTAATGGTCCACGGCTTGGTACAAATGGTCCACGGTCAGGTACCAATTTGTCCACGGCCCGATACCGGTCCGCGGCACGATGGATGGGGCGGGGGGGGCGGGGGGCGCTGTTTTAAGTGGCTCGCAAACGCTTTCGATCATCACTGATCCTGTATAATGACATTGTTAACACAATCATGTTATTAACAACAACAAACTTGCTATTACGTAACATTGGTTAGAAAACAACGCTCATCAACCCGGCAAAACCAAACAAGAATCCCCCAAATTTTGTTAAATTCCAGAACTAACTCCATAACATAATTCCTGCCCAGAAAATAAACTATGATGGTTAAAAGCGTTCGAATCAAATATATACGGACAATTTTTTATGCGTGCTGGAATTAAACATCAGTTACCTTGTAAGAAAAAAAGAGAAATTATCTAAAAAAAGAAAAAGTTAAAACGATATATATATATATATAAATATATATATAAGTTTTATGCTATTTTTATGGATACAAACATATGTCCACCGACAGAAATCAAACCTGTATCCTACACATAACCGTCATTTGGCCTGACGTGTTATACCATTTAGCTACAGAGGAAGCGTCGGGTTAACAAAGTCAAGTTACTATTCTTAAACAACGAATTTTTCTCGAACTAACATATCTGCTTGAGGCGTATCTTAATGTAAACAAATGACAACATGTATTAGGAAATAGACTAAGTCCGACAATTATTTTAATATATTTTCTGTTTATACGTTATTTTTATAGATATAAATATTTAGATAAATGTTCTGTTTATAATTAACTACATTTACTGTACTGAATGTCTGAGAAATATCATAAAAACCATGAATCTAATCTGTATCCTACACTGAACCGGCATTTGGCCTGACGGGCTATAACATTTAGATACAGAGGAAGTATCTGGATAGGAAGATCAAATTACTGTTTTTTCTTTTGCTATTTTCTTTTAACCTTTCGGTATCTTCAGGCGATTCTGGTCAATTCCTTTTCTACTTGTTATATATATATATATATATATATATATATATATATATATATATATATATATTATACGTCTATTGAGCACTTTTTGATACTACTCTTTCTGGGTCTAATCCAACTCTGACCATTAACTTTATATATATATATATATATATATATATATATATATATATATATATATATATATATATATATATTAATTGATTTAAATATATGTTTTTTTCGCTACACAGTTCTAACAAAATTAAATTCTGAGCTTTTAGCTTCCATTTTTGAAACATGGTTATAACTGTGTAGCGAAAAAAAAACATATTTTAAATCAATTAATTTATAATATTAATGCTCTGTAAATTTACATTGAGCACTATTTTGTAAAATAAAAATATCTATAAGAACACCGGATTATATACCTTACTGTTCTTTTATATATATATATATATATATATATATATATATATATATATATATATATATATATATATATACATATAAATATATATATATATATATATATATATATAATTTTGGAGGCTGTTGTAATAAAAGAGGCAGCCAGCATTGAATAAGGTGTCTCACTTTATAGGCGACCTTATATTGATATCTAAACACACGCAAGCACGCACACACACACACACACAAATAAAAATTTCGCTTTTAACGTTTATATGATGTCATCTTGAGTGAGTTGAAATTGATCCCATCAAATGTGAGAACGGCGGAATCAATAAGCAGTTGCGTAACTAAACAGGGGACAACCTTTGAAAACGAATGGGGTACCATCCGAAAGTACTCGGGGGAAGAAAAACAATATAAAAGTAAAGTTAATATGAATTTTGGCAAATTTACCGATGTAACAAAACAACATATTTGGAAATCGGAAAGATTTTTTAAAAAATTGATAGATCATAATAATACATATTACTTAACAAAACATGTTTGATTATATATATAGTTGATATTATTTGCTTTTAGCATTTCAAAAAGGTTGTTAATTTTAATAATACTCTGTAAACATACATGTAATATAAATATTACTTATAAATATATAAAATAATTAGGTGATTTTCAAAATCTTATTATATATATATATATATATATATATATATATATATATATATATATATATATATATATATATGAGATGTATTTGAATAGGACAATAGCCCATATATAAACTTTGGCCACAATACTCAACACCATTCAAAACACTATTCGGAAATTGGATAAATGCAATAAAAATTAAACAGGCGGGCATTACTTCTTTTTCATCTAAGTCATACATCTATATAAATATATGTGTGTGCGTGTGTATGTGTGCCTGATTGTGCGCGTGAATGGGTGCGTGCGTGCGTGCGCGCGTGCGTGTGTATTTCTTAAACCGAATTCATCGTGTTTGTAAATTTGGTATGGCTGGTTATGAAACAATAATATTTCAGAGAGATAATAGCAGTAATATCAATATATTTTTTTTGTAACAAAGTTACACAACCATTAAAAACATGATGAATTCACCTTGAGAAATATGAAAAATGCATGACTCTTGTGAACAAACTAAAACTATCAAATTATCAGTTGTTATATATATATATATATATATATATATATATATATATATATATATATATATATATATATATATATATATATATATATATATATATATATATATGTATGTATATATATATATATATGTATGTATATAGATATATCTGTGTGTGTGTGTGTATATATATATATATATATATATATATATATATATATATATATATATATATATATATATATATATATATATATATATATATATATTACAGTTCAAAAGTTTGAGGCCACTTCTAGTAATGTTGTAAATTGGCCCTAAAAGTAGTTGTTTTGTACTTTAAGTAAGAGAAAATTATTATACATGGTCAAAGAAAAGTGTGAGATGATTTTTTATTAGAAATTTTATTATCACAAGAAGAAAAAAAATTAAAATTAAATTTTGCTCTTGTCAAAATATTCTTCTTTTAACCTTGATTACTATATATATATATATATATATATATATATATATATGCGTTTGTATATTGATTGATTTGTTTTTAGAGGTTTGTCAACCTTTCGGGTGTTATGTAAAGCCAGAAAATATTTTTAGATTGTAATAGTCTGGGGTGGGGGAGAAAATAATTTACTGGCACAATTCCTACAAATTAACCCATACCTGGGTGGGGAGGGTCGAGAAGAGATGGATTCATACATTGCCCAAGGGTATTTGCGCGTAAGTGAATATAACAAGCCCGACTGGAATTGAACTCGACTCTCTAATTTCCAACTCCATGCAATCATCCATTACACCGCCGCACATCTAACAGCACCTGCTATGGTATTCCCAAGTGGTCACTCATCTAAGTACTGATCAGGCTCGACGTTGCTTAATTTCGGTGATCGTACGAGCATATATATATATTGAATATTGATTGTATCTGCATATATATATATATATATATATATATATATATATATATATATATATATATATATATATAATTCAATAAATTTTTACTGCACTTACCACTTCCCTTATTTATATTTACATACGCTCTATATCTGATATTGAGGAATTTATCCCGTAAATAATGCACTCCTTAAAACTATATTTCATATTCATATATATATATATATATATATATATATATATATATATATATATATATATATATGTCTGTGTGTGTGTATTGTAAGAAGGGAGTCTGTGTGTGTGTGAGATGAAATTTTTACTGCACTTACCATTTACCTTATTTATATTTACATACGCTCTATCTCTGATATTGAGCATTTTATCCCGTAAATATAGCACACCTTAAAACTATATTTCTTCATATATATATATATATATGTGTGTGTGTGTGAGTGTGTGTGTTGTAAGAAGGGAGTGTGTGTGTGAGAGAGAGAGAGTGAGAGAGAGATATAAAGGGAGAGTGTGCGTGAGAGAGGAAGAGAAGTAAAGGAGGAGATAGATAGACAGAGAATAAAAGAAAGAAAAAGAATGAAAAGTGGGAGTTAACGTATAATTGAAACAAACTCCCTTGGTAATTTTACTATAACCTTGTTTGAAATAATGATGTGAGAGAAAGGGCAGAAGAAGAAGACTAAAACGATGTGGAGCGGGGAATGTTAGAATAAAACGGCGAGATAAAAGAAAGACTAGAAAAAGGAAGAAGAACTCAGAGCTAGTCGGGAAACAGGGAGAGTTAGAAAGAACGTGATGTGGGTATGGGTTCTAGCAGGAATAGGGATGAGATCTCGCAGGGGTGTGCGACTGGAACATAGCTGGAGTGGTAATTCTGAATTAGATAAAGAGAAGAGAGAATTAATCGAAGGACCAGCTCGTTGAGAGGACCGATTGAAATTGAATAAGCGGGATTATGCCAAAGTTGTCTTCATTACGTCCTGAAATTAAAGCGTCGGCGAGTTGAGATAATAATTAATTACCACCGGACATTATTGATCACGTGATGACAGGGCCGCAGAGAGTGACACAAGGGCAGCACGAGACAAGTGGTAGGAATAGAAAGAGGATGAAGAAGAGGTGAGGGATAGGCGGAAGGCGGTACACAAACGCGCGCATTTGGTAGGAGCGCGGGAAGCGGGGGAAAGAAAAAAACAGTGAAAGCGACGGCCATTTTCAGCGCCGCCTTCGAGTCGATTCTACAGAAGGCAGCAATTAGAGAAAGGACGAGACGTAGTAGCAGCAGTCAAAGGTGGGAACTTGATTCGTTGAAGATTTTACGTAATGAATGAAGAATCATGAAAATTATGCAATATATATATATATATATATATATATATATATATATATATATATATATATATATATATATATATATATAGGCAGTATATTTTCATTCAAACAGTCAAACAGGTTTGGTTAAATAATAAGTCCTTAAAATGCTTAAATGAAAATTATGCCAATATATATATATATATATATATATATTTAGGCAGCATATTTTCATTCAAACATTCAAACAGGGTTGGTTAAATAATAAGTCCTTAAAACGCTTAAATGAAAATTATGTCAATATATATATATATATATATATATATATATATATTTAGGCAGCATATTTTCATTCAAACATTCAAACAGGTTTGGTTAAATAATAAGCCCTTAAAATGCTTATAAAAAAAATATAGATATATCAGCAAAAATGGAAAAGTTGCTTCCCTTATAGTGAAAATAAACCCCGAAAATACGTGAACTTTGAACTTAGAAATCTGCATAAGCAGTAAAAAAAAACAGTTGAAATGTTTTAAAATTACAGAAACACATATACATACTCACAGACAACTTAACCCTCTGAAGATGGTCTTAGATGAGATTGAACGTTTCTAGGGAAAATAAAAACAATTTGAAAGAATATTTTGGTATTTTTCATAATGAATTTTCTAAGACTACCAAGAAATGAATCCGCGAAATTGAGAGGATCACAATGAAAACTAATCGACATGACATGTCAAAATTATTTAACCAAACCTGTTTGAACATATATATATATATATATATATATATATATATATATATATTCTTAAGTAGTAATGGACTTAATTTTGAAGTTGATTGATTTGATTTTTAAGGATTATTATTTTTACAGGTTATTTAAAGCCCAAAAATATTTTTCAGATTGTCGTAATACAGTAGATATAATAATAAGTTACTGATACAAGTTTTACTATTTAACCCTTAGCTGGAGGGAAAAGGAGAATTCATACCTTTTCCAGCGGTATTTGTGCATAAGTAAATATAACAAACCCGACTAGAATGGAAGCTAGATTCTCCGATTTCCAATTCCTAACCGTTATCCATTAAACCACCCGCACCTCCAAGCCTACAGCATCGGATATTTCCAAGTGGTCACTGATCAACGTGCTGACCAGGCTCGGTGTTGCTTAACACCCGTCTTAATTTTGATTCCGAGACACACACACACACACACTCGCACAATTTGAAATATATATATATATATATATATATATATATATATATATATATATATATATAATTATTTATTTAAATATATGATTCCAAAACGCTACATAAAAGTCTCATGTTTCAAAACAAGAGCCGAAAACTTCAATATAATTATTTAAATTAAATTGAAGTTAAAAAATAAATACGTTCCATCTTCAAAAACGTTTTTTGGAACTAATAAAACGATTGAAAATGGAACAGATTTTATTTAAGATATTTAATTAAATAATTATATTGAAGTTTTCGGCTCTTGTTTTGAAACATGAGACTTCTTATGTAGCGTTTTGGAATCATATTTTTAAATAAATAATTATATTTATGCTCTACTTTTTGTATCGAGCACTATTTTTAAAAAATAATAACTAAAATACTAAGGGACTTTGGATTATTTACCTAACCAGTTCCTTCCTATTTTCTAGATATTTTCTCACACACACACACACACACACACACACACACACACACACACACACACATATATATATATATATATATATATATATATATAACGGAATATATACCCAAACATATCTAAAAAACAAATGTAAATGCTTCAAATTTCAACGTCTTTTACCCTTCGTGCACAGTGTAATGAAGTCTTATGGGCGAAACGCATCATGAAAGATTTTTCTACTTTGTCATTAATTTTCCTAACATTGCTTTGGTATATAAAAATATATCCTGGCATATAAAATATATACAGGGTGGGCGTAACTCTCCATTTTAAAATACTTACAATTTACTTATTAACTATAATTTTTAGCAGGAATCGATATGAGATGAAAGCGCTACCAGCTTCTTTAGCCACCCAGAAATCGCGTCAATTGATTTTACCAGTTTTACAAGTTCTTTCAAAGTTTTGGTTTGGTACAGTGGACTTGTGCCACTAACCAATCCCAGAGAAAAAAATCAAAGGGTATTAAATCAGGACTCCTGGCAGGCCACTCATACATAAAATAGGGAATTACTTTTCAATCCCCCTGTATATAACAAAAAATCCGGCAATGTTGGTATGGGCAATATACATCTTGCCAAAAGACCAAAAACATTAGACAAAAAAAAAAAAAAAAATACCAAAAAGCAAACACCTACCTACGCAGTAAATTAAAGTTCTCAACGCATAGACTGTCTATATAAAAAAAAAAAAACACACTCAACGAAAGGCAGTTCAAGTTGAGTAGCGGCTCGCGTTGTTCTTTGTTGAGTATATATATATATATATATATATATATATATATATATATATTGATTTATTTAAAATATGTTTTTTTTCGCTACACAGTTCTAACCATGTTTCAAAATGGAAGCTAAAAGCTACGAATTACGAAACTATGTTTCAAAATGGAAGCTAAAAGCTACGAATTACTAAACACCGGATTATATATCTTACTATTCTTTTTTTTTATATATATATATATATATATATATATATATATATATATATATATATATATGGTTTATACGTTTTTTTTGTTAAAGAATTTGACAAATGGAAAGCGATTCATTGAAAATAGATTTGATTACGTGTTCGCCTTTCTAGGCTTCATCATTCCATTTGTCAAATTCTTTAAAAACTTCGTCAGGATTCTATGTCCTCTTTAAAAACACACACACACACACACATATATATATACAATTTTTATATCATACGGGATTTAAGTATGACTGAACAAATTCAAAATTTTATCTTAAACATTAATCTTACATCATTTATAGAATTATTAAAAACTTTTTTAATAATAATAATAAATGCGTATGTGTGTATATGCATATGCGTTTGTGTGTCGAAACACGCGTGTGTGTAGATGTACCAATATGTCTACAGTCCAAGCATTTATTTTGCATATATATATATATATATATATATATATATATATATATATATATATATGTATGTATACCAGACTTTTTCTCACATCATATATATATATATATATATATATATATATATATATGTGTGTGTGTGTGTGTGTACTAGATTTTACTCACATCAAAACGATAGTATATTTCTTCTAAACTACAACCCAATATACATTAAGAAAAATTCTAACCACTCACTAACGCACTAACGTATTTAAAAAAATACCCATATCTATAAATAAAAGAATTTCAACAAATTCTTGTAACCTAAAAATATTTAATGAAAATATAAACAAAAAAAAAACATACGAATCAGCCCTAAGAAACAGCGAATATTCAAACAAACTAGAACACAAAAACGAAAACAATTCAAATAAAAACAACAGAAAAGCAAATATAATTTGGTTCAACCCTTGCAACAATACAATCAAAACAAAAGTAGGGTAAATATTCTTCAAAACAATTGACAAACACTTCCCTAAAAAAAGTAAATTATCAACAAAAATACAATCGGAATTAGTTACAGCTGCATGGATAACATGGAGAAAATAACGATTAAGCACAATAAGAAATACTCAACAAAAATCAATGACAATTAAAACAACAATAACAGTAACACTCAGCAAAATAACACCATTAAATGTAACTGCAGAAACAAAGAAAATTGCCCACTTAACAATAAATATTTAACCAATACCACAATGTACAAAGCTATCGTAAATAATAACATTAACAAAGACGAAAAAATACATAGGGGCCACAGCAAAAAAAAAAAAGAAAAAGCTTTTAAAGAAAGATATTATAACCACAAAATGTCATCTGTAAAAAAAACCCCAAAAAAACAAACAAACAAAAAAAAACCAACAATACAACCATATCAAAATATATATGGAGCCAAAAAGAAAACAATATTACACCAAAATCAGATGGAAATTTATAGAAAGAGCAACTCCATATAGTATTAACACTAAAAGTTGTAAATTATGTTTAGAGAAAAAAATAGTAATAATTAGCTTTAAAAACCAAAATAAACTCTTAATCAAGAAAACTGAAATAATGGGTAAATGTAGACATAAAATCACATGAGCCATCCTCAGATTTGAGCCGAAAGCTTAGGACCAGATTAATAAAAAAAATATTGGACAAAATGTTGGACAATTTTTGTCTTTATTTTCACCAGAGATTAAAGCAAATATTCGAACATTAGAATGGTTCATGTTCAGACATAATAGGCATTCATTGTCTGTTATATTTAATAATATATGTTTAAATAATGATAATGATTTGCTGCCCTAATACACTAAATTCAAATAATATATATATATATATATATATATATATATATATATATATATATAGAGAGAGAGAGAGAGAGAGAGAGAGAGGAAGAGAGAGAGGGAGAGAGGTGTATTTGCAAGATAACGGCTACTCGATGTGGAGTCATGGTTATCAGAACGGATAAATGAATCAATCATCCGAGATTGAATTCAGAATCAGACCTTCGCTGGTTGGCAGAGAATTGAGGGTTGGGTGCAAACCACCCTCTCATCCTATACAGCTGCATAACAATGAAGCAACTTATACACCTATAGTCATTTATTAAGCGTAGCTTAGATGCGTCACGAGGCCGAAGGTATAGAGCACGCAGGGATCGAACTCACAACTTATTCGTCATCGATAGAGCGAGACAAGCTTGTTACACCAGGTCGAAGTGTCCCAACTTCCGCATCTTTTGACAGGGTTTAATTTCAGTCTATACCGGGTGAGGCAGGAATAATTGTAAAGTTATTAACACAATAGGATATTTGTCATAAAAACAACACACAACAGGACTTACCAAACAGAATCTTACTTCATCTCTCTGTACATTATCTTCATCTTATGTAGGAAAATGATAACAAGACAACCAAATGACATTTATCAAAATATGTAAAAATTACTTGGATTTAATGCATTTTTATGAGCCGCATAATTTTTGTCAAAAATGTACTTCATTGATAACGAGAGCGATGATAGTTAAAAAAATAATTAATAAATGTTCAAGTGACTAATCTCTTGATGTAATAGCGCTTGTCAGGTTCAGGTTCAGGGTCTCCAGTAAATAAATTTTAAACTCGCTGCTTCTGATTAGCGTTTGTTTTGTGGAGTATAAATATATCTGGTAATAATTTATAAATATATCTGGTAATAATTTAATAGATTTATCAAACCCTCTGACTATGATGAGCGATGTTACACGAAAATCTGGAGTTTGCTAATATATTAATCCATCGACTATGAAAATAATAAAAAGAAATGTTAAAAATAAAAGAAAAGCATCAGTTACAGCATTGATTCAAATTTATAACTATTTTGCTTCAAGGGTTCAAAATGTTATCTTTTTGGATCCAAGGATCCCAAATTCTGATCATTTGCTTACAGTATTCAAAATGATAATCATTTATTTCAAGGGTTAAAAATGCCGATCCTTTGCTTCAAGGGTTAAAATTCCTAACTTTTTGGTTTGAAGTGTTCAAAATACTGACAATTTGCTTACAGGACTCAAAATGCTAACCATTTGCTTCAAGGGTTAAAAATGCTGATATTTTGATTCAAGGGTCGCAAATCCTTTTCTTTTTTTTTTTTTTGGCTTAAAGGGTTCAAAATACTGACTATTTAACTTCAAGGTTCCAAAATTTTGACTAATTTCAAAGATTTGAATGCTGACCATTTGCTTAAAGGGATCAAAATGCTAACCATTTGCTTTAAGAATTGAAAATGTTGACCATTTACTTCAAGTGTTATTATTGCTGACCTTTTGATTCAAATACGTATTTTTCGTTGCGCCAGAATGTTGACACAAGGTCGGAATTTAATGTGGGATTTCCGAGAAGCAGTTAAAAGGTGCTCAAGCTCTCTCGGCACTTCCCCTTTTGGGGACACCTCATCACCCCAGACCCCCGCCAACGGAGAGATACTGCCTGCGAGTGGTGTTAAATAATGGTTTAGCTGACTATTATTTTTAGGGGGAATGGTATCGCTGCTCCGACGTCCTGGGGTTGACTTTGAGGTCAGATGGAAGACAAAACAGGGAAGTCGGTTTTGATTGGGTGAGCCACTGTGAGAGTGATAGATAGAGAAAAGGTTTTTGGAGAATTGTTTTTTTAAACGTCAAGCAATGTAGACGTGTTCCTTTCGTCTCTGGAAACTGCCCCCCACCCAGTGAAGGTGGGAGGAGTAAAAAAAAAAAAGAGTTTAACATTCCGACCGAAAAGAAGAAAGAGAAAATACAACATTGTATTAATTGGCGCAGTGACCAAGAGACTCCCAGCATGACGGGGATATGCAGCAGTTGTCTTTTGGGGTTTGAACTGATATTAATTTCAAAATTTCAAGCATTCAAAATGCTAAAATTTAAGGATTTAAAACACTCACCATTTACTTCAATTCGTTTATCAAATCGGTTTATCATAGTGTAACATACCTTCCCGCTTGAAATGTCTTAAAAGCTCCAGGTAAATATTATATAAAGATGTTTTGCATTGTGCAATTTGATCGACTACTTCAGTACTTCTACTTTATACTTCCAGTAGGTATACTTTAATTACTGTATTTAACGTCATATAAGACGCATGGGTGTATAAGACGCACCCCAATTTCAACAAGGCAAATCAAGAAAATCTGCCGCCTCCTTGCTGTCTTCATTTAGCTACAGAGACATCTGCATCGGATAAAATCCACCCGTTTGCCGATCCATCATGTCCATCGATTGTCACCTGAGATTCGTCCGCGAGAATTACCGTATTTGACGGCATATAAGACGAACGGGTGTATAAGACACACTCCAATTTCAACAAGGCAAATCAAGAAAAACTTAGTAAATAGTAAAATTAGTAAAATTATTAGTAAATGGTACAGCCTAGGTTATATTTATGAGGTACTATTTTGGTTAAACAAGCCATGATTACAATGAAACGAAAAATAATAGAAAAAAAGAACACGAGCCTATAAAAATTTTATTATATCCTTTATATGATCTGTACAACCTGAGTCTTGTAAATATATAATTTGAATTTATTGCATATAATTTTAGTGAAACAAAGTACTAATATTAAACGTGATGAAATTAATATAATGGATATTATCAATTATAACACTTTTAATCTCCATAATAGCCTTTCAAATAATGACAATAGGTATATAAAAGTTACTCTAAAGTCTAAGCTAATAGGAGTTGCCAGGTAGCTAATTTCGGCCGACTGTCGCGAATTTTAAACCTACATATGACATTAAGACGCAGGGGAATTTTAAAAGATATTTTTAGTGAAAAAGTGCGCCTTATATGCCGTCAAATACAGTAATCAAAATTTGTTCAATAATCAAATTATTCCGGTAAATATTTGTAATAATTCTGTGAGTATTGACATCATCAAAAAAGAACTAGAAACGAGTAATTTCTTTTTGGTAAAAAGTTTTTGAAAGAAATTCTAAAAGCAAATGATAAAAAGTGAAAAAACACTTTAAGACAAAAAGGAAAAAAAAGTTTCTAAACTAAGTCTTTGATAAAAAAAAAAAAAAGATGAGAAAAAAGAAATAATAAATTGTTGGTAGCAAAAAGCGGATATATGTAATACCGCTGTGTCGTGTGTATAGGTGTGTGTGTGTATGTGTGAGCATGTATATCTGCGAGCTTGTGTGCGTCTGTTCGTGCATGTGTCTGTGTGTGTATGTGTGCGTACTTGTACATACGTATTCATGCGTCTTCTGTATACGACCAGGCGTGTGTGAGTGTCTGTATGTCTGTGTGCGTGTCCGTTTTTTTTTTATTTGCGCGCGTGTATGTGCGTGCGTGTTCATGCGTGTGTGAGCATCCGCGTGTATGAGTGCGTGTGTGTGTGCGTGCATATGTATATGCTCGTGTGCGTTTTTTATTTGCGAGCGTGTGTGCGCACGCACTAGCGTGCTCGCGTGCTCGCGTGCTCGTGTGTGTGTGTGTGTGTGTGTGTGTGTGTGTGCGTGTGTGTGCACGTTTTTATAAATCCGTTTCTCCTCTTGTGAGGCAATTTTTAGTAGATAGGTCAGGCCTATCATCCGGTTCACACTCCTCCCCAGTCTTTTGAAGAGGAATAGAGGTTTATCCTTTGTTTCCTGTTTAGGATTTGGTTTCCGGTTCCTTCTAACGTATTTAATTCTCTTTCATTGCCATCATACCCCCTTGCGTCTCAGTGGCATTATCGCCTTCCTTGGGGTGAAATGATAAAAAAAAAACTGGTGAATATTTTTTCCCACCAGGAAGATGCACTGATCCGTTGCTATGAATGAATAAGACAAGACAATGAAGAAAAGATTTCACGAAAATAGATACGATTGATTGATTTGTTTTTTACGGCCTATCAACCCATTGCAGGTTATTTAAAGCCAGAAAATATTTTTTTTAGAATTTTTTGGAAATAATAAGGATTTTTACCGATAATAATGAGGTTTTAATGATATTAATCCTACTAATTGGCCAATAGCATGGGGGGAGAGGTGAATTCATACCTTTCTCAAGAGTATTGATCATAAATAAATATAACGAAGCCGACTGGAATTCGAACTCGGCTCTCCGATTTCCAATACCAAGTCGTTATCCATTACACCACCTTCACATACAAGTTTACATCACCTGGTATTCCCAAGCGGTCACCCGGTACGAAAATGGATACGAAATCAAGATAATTTTCAAATAAATAAACCAATGCCAGAAGTGCGGCTAGATGTCCTATTGCTTCAAACCGAGATCGAAACCCGATCGATTTCGTATCAGTCAGACACATGGCAGAGGGGAAGGGAAATTTTAACGTTTTCTATGCGAAATAGGTTAGCGACCCGCAGAGCTCAATTCAATTGGGTTGAAGAGCAATGCGTTAATAGCGGTATGAACCACTGTTTTTAAAATTACACATTTCTCAAGAGAGCTCAACCGGATTACCCGGTAGCATGTATATTGTCATCCACAGACAGACTGTTTCGCTGTATCACAGCTCTTCAGTGTGGCTAAACATCCGATTGCTTCAAGCCGGGATCGAAACCCGACCGATTTATCAGAGATTCTACCTCTAGGCTATCGTTGCACGATAGGAAATGAAAGAGAAATTTTAACGTTTTCTATGCGAAATATGTCAGTGGCCCGGAAAGCTCAATTCAATACAGTTGAAGATATATATGCATATTGATTTTCCTTATATATATATATATATATATATATATATATATATATATATATATATATATATATATATATATATATATATATAAGGGAAAATCAATATGCAATGAAAAGGGGTCAAAAAGGGAAACAAACCAGAGAAAAAGAGACGAAATGGCAGAAGATCTGATTTGATCGAGCGAACTTTCAAATAAGCAAAGATTTACAAATATGGTGTGCCAAAAATAAATAAATAAATAAATAAATAAAACAAAGATTACAATATTCATATAAAATTCATATAAAAAATGGCGTCCAGTGGGGGAAGTGACAGAAAAGGAGGTGTAGGGGGAGATTGAAAAAGGAAGAGAGAGCGTGGATGAAAGAAAAAAGTGTGAAGAAAAAGAGAGATAGAGAAGGGGGGAAGAAGAGAGTAGAGTGTGATAGATGGTGGGAGGTCGAAAGGAGGGAAAATATGCAGAGAGAATATGGAGGAAAATTGAGAGGAAAGCGAAAGAAGAGAAATATGAAATCGGCGCGAAAAACAATGACAAATATTTGTCTCTGATGTTAGACTAATTAATTGAATCTGGGTCCTAAACTTTCACCTCGGCTCGTTATTATCGTAGCTGAGCGAGAGTGATGTCTGAGATCTCGGCTTGCACAGCAGGCCCCACCCAACATGTAATCTCCAAGATCCATCACCATTTCCGCTGCCGCCGCCCCCACCATTTGACGCATAATAGACACAAGGCGACCCTTGACCTGGAATCTAACGGGCAGTGACAGCTTCTTTCACGCGTTACAGAACAGGTAAATCGAGAAGATCTGCTGAGGCGAGAAGTTTCGACTCTTACTCGTACTCCCACTCTGATATCTAGACAAGATAGTAAAGGAAAGAGAGGTCTAAACATCAATTATAAGAAGACAAAATGTATAGTTGTCAGCAAGAGTAAAAGTCCAAGGTGCAAACTACGAATTAGATTTGTAAAAATCAAACAAGTACAGAAGGTAAATAGTGAGCTCCTTGATAAACTCTAAATAAGAATCAGCAATATTATCGGTCCTTATCTGGCAGCTCGGCTTCAGTCACTTTCCCACTGCCGCAAGATTGCGTCTCTAAGTCTTTTCTATAAATACTTTCATGGTAATTGTTCCGATGAGCTCTTCGCTATTTTACCTCGACGTTTTGAATTTAAGCGCAGTATTAGACTGGCGTCGAGATCTCATCAATTTACAGTTGAGCTAGCTAGATGAAGCCGTAAATTCTATGCTAACAGTTTATTTTCTCATTTGTGGAACTCTCGGCTTTCCAGCCAACTTTAATCTGCGAACAATTTTAATGCAATGTCAATCGTTATTTACTTTCCTCCTGATTATTTTTTTCTCTTCCCGCTGATTATTAATGTTTCTGTTCCTAATTCTTCTACAACTAGTAATCACTTGTGTCGTAGTGGCTTTAATACCTTACAGAGGGTGATACTGATTAAGAAAAATTCACTTTTGCACAAATGCCCTTGAGAAAAATTTGAATTTCCCTCTTCTCCCCACACCAACGATCGGTTAATTAGTCAAACTTGTATCGCTAAACTATTATTATCTTAGAAAAAAATTCTTACAATCCAACAAAATTTTCTGGCTTTAAATAACTTACAAAGGGTTGATAAGCCGTAGAAATTTTAACTCCTCCAAAACTAAACGCCTCTCCGTTAGAGCCCACTCGGTCTTCCATCAGCATGGCTGATGCTAAACTCTAGAGTTCAGCTTTCTCGGGCTAACATTCTCAGCTGACATCAAGTGGAAAGATTATATTGAATCAATTGCTAGGTCAGCTGCTAACAAAGTTTGTTCACTGTATCGTGTGAGACAATTTTTCTCCACAGAATCTATCACACATGTCTATAAGTCTACCATTCGTCCATGATTAGAATATTCCTTCCACATATGGTCAGGTGCCTCTGCTATTTACCTTGAGCTCCTTGATAAAATCCAAATAAGAATCAGCCATATTATCTGCTGTCCTCCAGTTACTCTTTTCTCTTTCTGCTCATTATTAATGTTTCTGTTCCTAATTCTTCCACACCCTGTAACCTCTTGTGTCTTAGAGGCTTTTTTGTCTTGTATGGGGTGAAACCGATTAAAATGAAAAATAAAATAAGTTTAAATATTTAGGAAGTGTTTTAACAGAAGGTGAAAAATGTGACACCGTAATCCAAAGGCGCCTTGTTGTTGTTGTTGTTCTTCTTCTTCTTCTATATACCATATCCATCAGGACGTGGGAGATCATGGCCCTCCATAACGTCCTGTTCTTTATAGCTCTTAGTAAACTTTTGTCTTTTTACTATCTCTTCTAATCCCGGTGAACCATTTACGCAAGTTTGTTAGGTAGGTTATGAGCTTGTGTAAATGGCTGGAAGAATAGGGATAAGGCCAACCATCTTAATCCCTGGCAGAAGACTCCAGAAACTAAGCAAAGTACTTCTTCTAAGTGCAGGGCCCCTTCAGGACGTGGGCGAACATGGCTCTCCACAATCTCCTGTCTTTTGTAACTCTTATAGAAGATTGTCTTTCTGCTATATCTCTTAAACTCTTTTCCACCAACCGTTAGACAGGTCATGTGCTGCTTTTTTCTGTTCTTCTTAACATCAATATGTCCTATGAGTGTCAAATTTTCCAAGCACCCTTTCCTCATTATTTACTCTGGAGATTTTAGCTGATGCTACCTAAAAGTGTCCATTTTATTTCCATTTTTTTTTTCAAAAAATTTCGTTGTTACTCACGTGTTCTGTGAAAACAGGAAAATTTTCTTAGAAAGAAAGAAAAGAGTGCTGAACTGCTATGTAATATCGATCATTGTATATAGCAGTGAATGCTGGACAATTTTCTCATAGATGAACGGAAGACTGGACGCAACAGAAGGATGATGAGCATACCATGGACAGGTCATATAAGCAACGACGAATGTTTCAAGAAAATGGTAAAAAAAAAGGACACATACTTAGAATCAGAAAGAGATAAACTGACATTTATAGGACGCATAACGAGGAAGGAGGGATTGGAAAATTTGATACTCACGGGTCATATCAAAGTCAAACGGAACACGGGGAAGCAGAGAATTTCACAGGCAGCAAAAGAAACTTCCATATTTAAAAGTTAGCAAATATTTTGCATAAAAAATTATATATATATATATATTTAAAAATTTTTTTATATATCTAAAACATTATGTATCTAAGATATATATATATATATATATATATATATATATATATATATATATATATATATAATCTGTAACCTTTTATGGGAACCCTCATATAGCTTGAATGGTTACAGCACGTCTGTCCGATAAATGTAATTAATACAGTTTAATTAAAAAATAGACCATTTAATTAAATAAATTATATCTACAAAAATAACGTATAAACAATATATATATATATATATATATATATATATATGAAGAAAGAGAGAGAAAGAGAGATAGTGATATAAAGATAGATAAATTTATATAGAGAGAGATAGAGAAAGCAAGAAGTCTGAGTATATACACCTACTCAGATGTAAGAATATTTAGGGGTGTGAATAAACTTGTACGTAAACATCTATGTATATGTCGAGGATTGATCTCGAATGAATCATTTTAAATCTTCAAAACTGTATTAGCGTGAAAAATATTTTTCTGTGCATGTAAAAAAAGAGATTTTTTAAGGACATGCGCAATGTGTAAAAACGCTCAATCACGTTTTTATATACATACATTTGCGAATGTTAGGGTGATAACAAATACGTTTCACTTTGTTTAAGCGAGTTTTTAGGGCATAAAAACGATTGTATATCTCTCTACGTTAATATCTTTGCAGTGCATTGAGTGTATTTGGTGCCTGTAAACTCACAGACATGGGTGTGATACGGTTTAGGTTTGTGGATCAGATGGAAGCAGGAATGTATCAACAGCCAGATTTGCACAAGTCCTTCGATGGACTTTTACCTCCCCTGGTTTCCAGTCACGTGCCGCTTGATTAGAGCCATCTCTCCATCTTCTGCACAGGGGCTAAGGAGCATAATCCACATACAAACGCACACATACACACTCACGTCCCACCATGTTTTTTTTTTCTCTCTCTATCGTCTGCTTTCCTTCATTTTTCTTTTTCAGTTCTATTTTGCTTTTTGGATGACGTCTTGACAGGAAAAGACAATTTCTCATTCTTTGCTCATTACATTCGTGTTTTTTTTTTCCCTTTTCATGAGCGTCAGTTTAAGTTTTTGATAAAAAAAAAAAGAACACCCCCAAAATAGCCGTTTTAACTGTAGCTCTTTTTATAATTCTAACTCAAACAACTCAAATAGAATTCTGGAAAAAATAGTCAGAACATAGCATAAAGAATTCTCGCATGCATAGCTAATTTTTTTCTATTCATTTTACCATTATTTTTGCAGTTGTTTTATTCATACTTAACTGAAAAAAGGAAGACCCCCCCTAATATTTTAGCTGCTGGTTTTCGAAGCAAACAGTTCTTCCCATGTAAGATATTGGTGCAATACAGTCTTCTTATACCCTGGTGATTATCTGCATAGGTGTTCATTATCAAAAGATGCAATGTTCAGTTACTCTGTCTTTGGCATATAACCATCCCTTTCTTTCTTTTATATATACTCTTTTTTCTCTTTCTCAGTGCTTCCTCTCTCTCTCCCTCTTTTCCCCCTGTATATTTCTCCCTCTCTCTCTTACTCATATCTTCCACTTATTATTCAAACCTCTCTTTCTCTCACATAGATTTCATATCAACCTCTCTTTGTTTTGCATACATGTCTTAACACTTCCCACCTCTCTCTCTCTCTCTCTCTCTCGTAATCCAACTCCTCCTTTGTTTTACTATATATTTTTCTTACCCTTTCAATCATATCCTTTTCCATATCAATGAAACTCATTTTCCATCTGGTCTCTATCTCCCCCATTCTCTCTTTCTTGCTCTCTCCCTCTCTCCCTCTCTCTCCCCCCTCTCTCTCATGTTTCGCTTCTCTTTCAGCGACCGTTACGTTCCTAAATCTCTTCTTTGCTTTTATGGTTTAATGGCTGAATAGAAGTTAAGAGTCGTCACGAGGGATTTTTAAAGACGAAAACCAACCTGCCGGGGAGAGATTCTGACCTGACCTGAGGCCAGTTTAAATCTTAGCTTTTGTTTATCTTATTTCTCTGTTATTTTGCTGACTTTACGATTAAGTGTCATTCAAAACCTAACCAGGGTGGCGGCGAAAAAATTCCCCGGTCATGAATCAAGGAATCGTTGATTGCTTGATTCACGACTAGCATGAATTTGTAACGGTTTTAATATTTCAAATAATCTATACATTAAAGAGAAAAACGACTTTCTATTCTGTAGTGTAAATGTCGGCGAAAGGAGATAAGATTTATTTGTAGATTTATAAGAAAAGAATGACATGAGACAAAACTCGCTTAGAAGTTCATTACTGCTGTAGAGAGTTCACTGGATGCTTCGTTATTGTATTCTTGTGTCAGACGCACAAACAATAACACATACAAGCACACACAAACAGAAACACACTAACACACACAAACACACATACACACAAACGCAGATATGCAAACAAAAAAAGTATACAACATATGCACACATACAGATACAGACTCACAAACACACAAGCATTCTAGCATACAAACACACTAACAAAATACGCACACGAGCAAAAACAAACATACAAGCACG